CAGCAAAACAAACAAGATGTTAAGGTCATGCATGGTTTCATGATTGTCATGATGGATCATGGCCTAGCTGTTTCCGACTCCTGTCCCTTCAACAATTGTTCATAGCATATTTATGAGAAGAGTTTCATATTAATTAATTAAAATAATTTAAAAATGATTAATATTCCAACAGCATCAAAAACCTAAAACACAAGTTCTTCATGACTGACAGCAAAGTTGAAGCTGCCCCCAGTGGTGCCTCTCATTTAACAGTTGTGTTGTAAGGTTTAACATTCACACTGAGACATATGTCAACATCGTTTGCACTCTACTCAACCTAACGATGAAAGTGTATAAAAAAAGCATAATTATGCTCCACATGACTTTTATTTTTGGAAATGTGAAGTTTTTTGTTAAGTGGAGCCTTAATTGGGGTTTTAAGCTATGAAGTTTGTTGAATGTTATTGCTTTCTACAGCACAATATGGAAAGTATTTCCCCCCTCCCCCACCCCCCATATACCATCTCCTCCATACACTCTTTTCTAATAATCTACCCCTAATGGTCTCAGCACAGTTTTTGGATTTTACAACCTGGTAATRCGTAACTCCTCRGTTAATGTCATACCTTACAGTGCATGCACTTGCAAACTATTGATAGCAACTGCCAGATGGGTACATAATAAATGGAACTTACCTTATCAGTATTAAACATCCCCATGGTAACACCACCACTGTCTTTAAACTCATGAACAGTGTATTCTATTGGTTTACTGCCATCTTCTGGGGTGTAGGTTATCGTTACTTTTCCTGGTCCTGGTACTACAAAGTCAGTTGCTTTGTACTAGAAATAAGTCATATGACAATAAATAGGATGTACTGGTAGTTATATAAACATGGTGACTGTATAAGAATACAGTTTATATACTGTTTATTATAATATTAGACAATATTGCTTGGATTGCCATGTGATGATAACAACAATTTATAATAAAGCAAGCAGAAATACCAGAAATAAAATATTGTACATTGAGGTTCCTTGATTTCAAAATGATTTGACATCAATAATTGATTGCTAATAACACTATTATTAAAAGTTATAATATTTATTATCATTATACCTGGTCAGCATGAGCATGTCGACCAATGATKATAGGTTTTGTCCAGGCTGTGAAGACAGTGGCATACAAAGAGTCAAATGAGTTTTAAGTTGAAACAATTGGCAACTGACATGCACTGCAGTGGCAGCATGATCACACTTACGATGGACAAGTCTTGGAATATTTTTACAGATGATAGCCTCTCTAAATACAGTGCCTCCAAGTATATTTCTAATTGTTCCATTGGGAGATTTCCACATCTTTTTCAGGTTGAATTCTGCAGTTCAATGACAATCAGAATAAGATGCAAGACACAAATAAGTCAATAATAAAGATAGTCAATTATAAGCAAGAACACAGTCGTGCAGACAGATATAATTTTAGTATCTCCTCTATTTGTGTTAGAACTTAATCTTAGAGTCATTGGACAAAAAGACAGTCATGAAAAAAAGACAAAATGCCAAAATTTTTAATAATTTGGTAATATTACAATATAATTKAACTCACAAATTAAAATACACGGTAGTTGAAACTTAGGTAGCAAGAAAGATATGAGAGCACCAAAAAGGACAATGTCCTTCCAAATTCACTAGACGACCAGCCAAATTGGGTTTTGAAAGGACAAATTGACCTGTCACATTTTTAGACAAATCAATTCTCAATGCTAAATAAATCTTTTACAAGCCATTAAAATGCTTGCCGATCTTTCTGAATACAAAAACCTATAAATTAAAAGAAATAATTATAATTTATTACTAAAGTTTTAATTGTCCTTTCAAAACTTGACATGACCTTCTACAAATGAATTTGGAAGGACATCTCCTGCATAATTATGTCTGGCCGTTATTTCGAGCCCTGTAAAGCTGTGTCAAACATTTGGAGTTTTACAGTAATATTACCTTCAACCCTTTTCTCATCAGGAGTGATAGTAGCACACTTGATCCCAACATTGTACTTTTTGATGGCTTCAGCAGCCTCCACTGTAACTATGGCAACAAGTCAACAGCTGTTAGTATGATTTATATATATATATATATATATATATAAATAGAATAAATGGAGAAAAAGCCACGCAACTTGTAACTAGGTTTTCTACTTTTTAATGAACGTTTCGGCACTTCGGCCTTCTTCAGCAAACTGAGTGTTTTGCACGCGCCATTGCTACAAAATGCGACTAACGGAAAACAACAAAACGCGCGCGCTCTACAGCGCACGCAGCCAAAAAACACGCGCTTTTAAAGAGCTTGCACGTGGGCTAGGACCTAAATCTAACCTACAAAACCAAAGAAAGCAGTAGCTAATACAAAGCACTCAGCTAGCCAAACCAGAAATTTCATCAAACAAACCCAAGCCAGATAAACAACACCAAAGTAGGAAATTACTAAATCTAATACAAATAAATAATTAATACAAATAAAGGAAGGACATGAAAGCTACTGCCTGCTCCAATTCAAAAGGACTAAATTATTTATAAGCAGTGTGGGCATGGTATATCTTTATATGCCATCTCGTATAAGGGGGCACAACAAAACTTTCAACCATGATCCCAACAAATTGTCGTTAAAACTCGCTTCCTGATTCGTCAAACTTTCATGCATACTGGTACTGTATCCATTTTAATCCAAAATTTTACTACGATCCTAATCCTACCAGCTGCGATCCTAATCCAAGCCAAAATCCTGATCCCATGTGCAATATTACAATCTGGAATAAAAGATACCTTTGTCGTCTGTAGCATCACGGTTCTGTATACTCAAGTCAAAAAACTTGATGTCGAGATCAATATATGGAAGAATTAGCTTTTCCTTAATCAAATCCCAGATAATCCTACAAGACATTAATGTATAGAATCATTGGTTACACTCAAATCAACATCATGCAAGAATAGCAAAATATGTTGATTAAAATTATGGCTTAAGTTAATTTGTAGTTAAAGAATATAATTTTTAAAACTATTGCAAATTGTCTTAATGTATTCTAATTTATGGTTTTATGTGGCAAAAATATTCCTAAAAATGTATTGAGAACTTAAGAAACTTTAACAAACATTCTTCACGTTTATAAGCCTCAAAACGGGATGATAAGGATGACCTTAAGTTTATAGCCCCAAACTGCACTGGGAAATAAAAATTTAGAGGTACATTTTATCCACAGCAAGAATTCAATTTATTATAAAAAACAGTCTAAGAAAATTAAACCAGGCTATGAGTATATGAATTAAAATTATATCCATAAAAAGGGATTTAAATGCTCGCCGATATTTTCCACTCAAAGCTATCTATCCATAGCAGAAATGGAATTTTGGACTTTGGTCGACCTCTGCGCGATGGTCATGGATCACGTCAACAAATGGTTTGTCCTGCACTTCKATAGTATTTCCTGATCACTTTATCAAATAAATCTCGCTTTAACACTCAAAGAAATTTAGTATTATCGATATGTGACTTAAATTCTAGCAAAGCARCTGAAAATATGGCTAGTTTTCTGAGAGACAGTTGTTGTGACCTTATAGTAATTTTCCGGGTTTTTCCCGGCGACAGATTAGTTTGAACGATGCTCCGAGGCCGCTACTTACCGAGTCATTTCATCTCCCTGCATTTCTACAACTGGTCCAGCTGGAGAAAGAAACCGAAAAAAAACTCAGTCTATTTGTAATAAAAAAACTTAATAGTCTTCAATATTGGGTGTACACGTTGCAACGGCTATGTACAAAATACAAACGCCCTGCTATCAGGTGCTGATATTATGCAAAAAGAATTGCTCGCTCTATCAATACAATACAATAATGTGAAAGCCAGATGAATTTTAAAGAGCTTCAGCAGCTTGAGAACACGATTACCTTTGATTCTGGTCATTTTCGTGGATGTTTTTGAAGCACAATTCTGTACAAAACTTGATCGTCAGACWAGAGTGAAATTGCACAACAACAGTATTTACCCAGGATCCTTTGTGAAGCGACCTTTGACCACGGGGACTTCAGGATGACAGGTGACGCGACGCTTTCCGCAAAACAACATTCTAGATATAGAAAATGAATTMAATGCTAAAATATTAATGGAAACGCATTCGAGGCATTTAATTGGCCTTATATTGTATCCCAGTGTAATATATAAGTACGAAATCTCAATATAAAAAAACGCAAGGCGTTACTGTTTGGTGCACAGGCACCCCAAGCCGACAATTTGACGATTCAGCTATTTCAGACTACAGTCTCGCAAACCACTGCAAAGTGAATCCTCCCTTTTTTCGGGAAAACTACAAATACTTCCCGGTCTTCAAGGGAAAATTTTAAAAATGTACATAAGTTTGGACATTTCAAAGCCTTTCTGCTAGTTTTTCCACTCATTACTCAACCCCCCTCATGATCAAATGATTGCGCAGTCCCAGATGTGGTCTTGGTGTTGAAATGACGCAATTGCGCAGATGTYCCGATGGAATCTCATCAAAAATTGAGTACTTACTGCGGTTTTCCGTTTTCTGCGAACTCTAGTTCTACTGAATGTTAACGTAGTCTCCTTCGCAGGCTCCCCTTTTGTCGGGCTCATCTGTCGGTCTCCTGAAACTTAACCAAACAATTGCATTCACGCAAGGCTTCACTAAACATACCGAGAAATCGCTGCTTAATTGTTCTTAGCGTTTGACAAAAATTCCGTTCTCTTTTCSTGGTTTCATGCATCTCCTCTGTGAAGCTCACTGTGAGAAAAACTTTCCCGTCGGCGCGGCGTTTATGTCGGTGTTGTATTTGGTTGAGACATCGTCGTATTCGTCAAACACAATGGTTGCTGTACCATATTTCCCACAAACATATAGTACATATGAGCAAATTAATAGTCAACGAGGATATCTTGATAAGAACATGAAGTATTCGGCTAAGGTACTCGATGAGGTAGCGTCCCTCCATCAAGAGTACTCACCTGTAAGTACTTGACATGGAAACTAGAAGGTTGCAAGGCTGCATGGTGGTTAACACAACTCAGCAGAAACGATAAAGATCAATTGTTTCGCTGCAATGAAATCCACGACAATCTTGCTTACACGTGYATTCGAGCTTTGTATTTTCACATATGTTACACACTCAGATAATTCTTATTAATGACTACAATGTTGGAGATCGTTYTTTAACTCTGCTCGATTCATATTGGGATGTGATTACAAACAATAATAGAGATAATAAATGTATAAAATTGACGTTTGTCTGTTCACTATATTTATCTCATTTCAACATCAATGATAAT